CACATGGGACTATGTAATCCATTATATACAATAATTATCTACATATATTTTAAAATCAGATTAAAATTGAAAATATAGCTGTCGGAGTTGACTTTTATTAAACGAGTGGGACCCAATAACGGCTATATTTTCAATTTTAATTGGATTTTAATCCTTCCCAAACAAGTCTATAGACTTATTCAAAATGAAATGTATGCTTTTTAGAATTGGATTATTATTTGATTCTCAGATCTGGGTAGCTGAAATTATGATGATTTGATTTTAATACTTGATTTGAATTAATATCTGATTTTTATGAGTGAAATGACACCGTCTTTTGTGGTATTTAGAATAAAGTCACTTTTTTCTTCTTATTCTTTTTGTTACTGGTTTAGTTGTAAGAGAGTTTTTGGGTGAATTATATCTAGTACTAGTTACAATAGTAGATTTGTTGATCTTTTGAGTTTAAATCACGTGTCAATTTGTTGCAAAATTCTACTTTAAAGTTGGACTGATATATATCAAATGAGTCCAGAGATTTATTTGCTTTATGTAATTTTCTCTCTTTTTTTATGGTTTTTGTCATGAGACTCGTGATTGTAGTGGTTCGTTTCTCTCATATTTGTTGTGATGCGGTTAGCTGCTGGGTGATAATGAGTTTTAAGTTTGCATATTTGGTCAAATAATCAACTGAAGCTTGTATGATCACTAATGGAAATGAAATGTTGTTCCGGTCAAGTTAATATATACATTTTGAACGAATTCTCTGATGTATCACTAATATATGGCTCAGATTAGAAAGATGTTAAGAGTAGTTTGTAAAAAAAAATTTATAATTAGATGTTCCTGGTATGATATTCGGCACGCGAAGCTCGAATTTTTTACTTGTGGGCAAAAAGATTTAAACTATTTGAGATGTTTTCTGTTATGTATAGTTTTACTTTTGTCATAGTAAAAGCTGAAAATTTAGAGAATGCATATAAACTGGCATAGAGAACGCACTTGACTAGGGTTGTATTAGTCTATTAGATTATGTTTTCATATAGTATATGATTTTTACGTTTTAGTGCATTTATATATTAATTCAAGGAATTTTTAATATCATTTAATAAATATTAATAAACAATCTAGCTATTACGACCGTCGACGCTCATCAACATTCTTGGATCCGTCACTGCAAATCATCTTCATTGTGATCAAAGCCTAGCAATATGCAACAGCTTCAGATACTTGCTAGCGAAAGAGTCATCAATGGGAATTTATAGATTTGTATTCACACTAAAGACATGCCCTGAATTAAAAGGACTTGGATGAATTCTTACCATCGTAAATTTATTTTTATTTAAATAAGTAACATATTTAAACAAAATTGAAAATAATGAACAAATTACAGATTAGTGTTCAAGAATGAATAGATTATTTCCACGAATGGTTTTAACCTACACTAGCATACTTCAAATGGAGAGTGGATATGAAAGTCATTATGAGCCACTATAATATCTCATTTTCGCATCTTTTATGATAAAGAGGGTAACAAGGCACCAAAAACTGAATTGGAAGGAAAAGATATATTTATGGGAAAAATTGTGTATAGTTTACACCAATTCAAAAATTAGATTTATAGTTTGAAAATTCAAAAAAAAAAAAATTTATAATTTTTATTTATGAAATAATAAATTATTAAATCAATTTATTATTAAATAATTAATTTTAATATAATATAATTAACCCACTCCACCTACACCACCCCCTACCGCTCCGGGGATTATTCCGGTGACCATTCCGACCACCACTCTTCTTCGACGACTGTTCCGACGACTACTTCGATTCCGACAATTATTTCGGTGACTATTCCGGTAACCATTCCGGTCACAGATTTACAATNAGAGTCACGTATTATTATAGTCATCGGTCACATTTTGGTCACAGATTTACAATTTAGTTAGTCACATATTATTTTTCAGTCACAAATAATAATTTTTATACGTCACAGCTCAAAAATTTTGTAATTCACAATTAATTCGTTAGTCACAGATTTCAAAATTAGTTGATCACATATCAAAATTTATATGTCACACGGTCACATATTTCAAAATTAGTTGAAAACAGATTTTTTTACGATCACAGATTATATAATTTTTAGGTCATATGTAACAAATTGGTTGGTCACGGATTGTATTTTTAATCACAAATTACCGAATTTTGGTCACATACGCCAAATAGTGGGTCACATACCACCACCATTTGCGACCACCCTCACCTTGGCACCACCACAACAGCACCAACGCTACACCACCACCAATGATAGCCGCCACTCCATGGCGCCACCACCAACAAAATTGTCACCACCCAAACACCACGACAACTAATAGTAACACCGTCATTTTTCCAAAACCACTACCAAAAACCACCAGATTCGCCACCACAGTTAAATCGTCGCCGCACAAAACACTACCATCACCAGGATCCACCACCACCGCAGCCACTACATGGTTCGTCCCACTCCACCACCACCATAGCCGCAGCCGCCACCAACAACCACAACCGCCAATTCATTTCTTCGAATCTGATCTGCAACAACCACAACCACAACCAGATCACATCCCCTGTGCCATCTCATACGTAAAGCACCCGCCAGAACAACCACCATCACCATTGTCGACCACCGCACCCACCGCACAATAGATGAATCAAAAACGAAAAACTCCATAAAAATCTAGAGTTCTGCCGGTGTTTCTGAGGCGACGCTATTGCTATGCCGCTTCGAGCAGTTAGCACTACTGCGTCTGCTGGTGGCGTTCAGACCTCGGTAGAGGTTGAGAAGAGAGAAAGAAGGTAGGTCCTCGAGGCGGCGATGTTGTCGCCGCTTGTTGTCGTCGATTGGGGTGGGCTTCAGTCCGATGAGCGTCGTCGCCCTCCGCTGTGGTCTCCGTCGAGAAGAGAGGCGATGGAAGCGATGGGAAAAACAAGAGAGAGGTGACGGAGGCGACGAGGGAGACGGGTAGAGAGATAAAGAGGGAGATGAGAGTGGTATTTGATTTCTAGGGTTTGAGGGTGAAATTTGTATATAACTATTTAATATCAAACACCTGATTTTTGAACAATAAAACATTTACCCTGGTTTTTGAAGTTGAATCTTGAAACATAGGGTTGTGTGTAATTTCCTCTATATTCAAACTGAATTGGATGAACAGTGAATTAGTCTTCTGTAAAATGCAAGTAACCCTATCTCAATTTCATATAATTGGACGGTATATTTTATACTTTATTTTAATAAATATTAAAAAAGTTATTGAAACAAAAATGTATTCAAACTTGTACACACTTAATTGATAATGGGTAAAATGCAAGTGACCCGTCTCAAACTCGTATAATTGGACGAACACAACTCACGATTATTACACATAAATAATCTAATTTTAACAAACTATTATATGTAACATATGGAAATAGAAAAAAAGAAAACATAGGTGACTAAATAGAGGATTTTATTAAATCGGTGTGAAAGAAGTCCCAAATCATCGTCCATCAAGTGTTGTAAGAGTGACATCGTTAATGGAAACACCCATCTGGGAAGAGGTGACATGACTACGGTTCCACTTCTCGGCAAAAACCGGTTGCTCCGGCACAGGCAAATCCACAATTTCCTGACTGAGCATTGCAAGAACAGTCGA